AGTCAGTGGAACAGAAGGAGAATCTGTCACACTCAGATGTACTATGAGACAACAACAGAATATGTTTCTCACTGGTACAGACATCATTCTGACCAGGCACCTCAGTTTATACTCTGGAAAGGAGCCAGATCAAGGAGTGATAGAAATATTCCAGATGAACGATATGAATCTCAAACATCACGCAGCTCAACTGAACTGACCATTAGAAAGCTAACCCTGAAGACACAGCTCTCTACTACTGTGCTTTAGAAACAAGTGATACAAAGTGTAGAAGAGGCTGTACAAAAACCTGAACACAGATATCTGACTACTCTTCAAAGAGGAGGGAAGTGGGATTCAACCACAGCTTCATGCAGATGGATTCTGATGATTCCTGTTTGATCAGAGTCTTGTGGTACAGCTGCTGATGACAGTGCACAGGCTGCTGTTGCAGTTGCTCCTGTTTGTTTTTTAACTTTCTAGTACTTTACTGTCAGAGTCAGAGGGAGTATCGGGAGTGCAGCTTGATGTGCGTCATTAAAATGCGGTTGCATCAGGATGTTCCCGACAACAACGTCTTTTGGACCAGGATGCCAGAAAACAGAAAACACTACAACTCTGTACAGAAACACAAGCTGACATGATGACAACCTGCTGCTGGGAGCATTTCCTAAATGTTAAAACTGCAATTTCAATCTCCACCAGAGGGGCATTACTACTGCAGCAATGAGTTCAACAGCTTCTTGAAATAAAAACTGTTGTTGAGAAGAAAACAAATCACAGACTGAATGTTGAACATCAGAGAGTTCCTCCTGTTGGTTTAAACCTTGTTGTAGAGATGGGACTTTGGCTGTGGATTATTCTGCTGCTCTTTTATTAGGTGAGAGTCAAAGAACATATTCTGATTACTCTGTACATGTTTGTGTGTCTGATTCTCTAGCTACGTAACTTTTTTAACCTACTGAGTATTTTTGTCGAAAATTAATCTCTTCCTCTTTTTGTTCTCTTCTCAGAGTGTAAAGGAGAAGACAGAGTGATCCAGCCAACACAAGATGTCTTTGCTTCTGAAGGAGACACAGTCACAATTGATTGTCAGTTTGAGACTTCAACGACCCCCTCTTTGTTCTGGTACGACAGAAAATGGGTGAAATCCGGTACCTTTGGAGAGGCAATGCAGGCTTTTCAGAAAATGCTCCTGGGATCTCAGAGATAGATTTAAAGCTACAATCAACGGGACATCAGTTCCCTGAAGATCCAGAAGTTTAGCTGTCTGACTCTGCTGTGTACTACTGTGCTCTGAGCCCACAGTGACAGGAAACACCAAACTCTGTAAAAACCTCTGGAGAGAAGACAACACAATACTCCACACAACCTAGAGGGATTCACACACTGATAAACTTCTATGGTAGTCATGATGAAGGCTTGAGTCTCCTCCAATGACTGCAGAGGTGTTTGATGACAGAGAACTGTTTGATTCCAGCAATCCAAGCCATCCCACAGCATCAACTGGAACATTTGTGTCCCCTGTCATGTGTTAACAGATGAATCTTTATAGAGTCCACTCAGATCAACAAACCAACCTGTAATAGTGGCTATGCATCCCTGGAAGAAGACCTTCTCCGGATGCCACAACGGACCTCAACCAGGAGCGACAGGATGACACATAGATTTAACGGTACTGTGTCTGTATGTGCTGGCAGAGGAAAGAAGACTGCTTGGAAACTTGGAAGTCTCTCCAGAGGTGAAGGATGGACGGTGGGTCTGGACACACTTCTGCACATTTGCATCATAGTTGTAGGTTGATGCATTATGTAAGCATACAGAACCAGCAGGCTCACTGCAGAAGAACTGATCTGATCTATTTAACGTTTTTCCTCCACTTGAGGGCGACATTATCAGGTAGGCGGTTCATCACCTCTGCACTGAGTTCAAACTTTCTGTCAATACAAACTGCTGCAAGGAGGAGAACTTTTCTCACTCTGAATGTTGAACATCAGAGAGTTCCTCCTGTTGGTTTAAACCTTGTTGTAGAGATGGGACTTTGGCTGTGGATTATTCTGGCTGCTCTTTTATTAGGTGAGAGACAAAGAACATATTCTGATTACTCTGTAGATGCTTATGTTTCTGATTCTCAGGCAAGTTAACTAGAATCCTAAATATTCATTTATAGAATCATTAAACAATAAATATCTTCTTTCTGTTATCTTCTCAGAGTGTAAAGGAGAAGACAGAGTGATCCAGCCAACAGAAGATGTCTTTGCTTCTGAAGGAGACACAGTCACACTTGATTGTAAATTTGAGACAACTGACACAACCCCCTCTTTGTTCTGGTACAGACAAGAAATGGATGATTTCCCAAAGTACCTGTGGAAAAGCTATGGAAGTTTTTCAGGAAATGCTCCTGGGATCTCGGATGACAGATTTAAAGCAGCAAAAAATGGGACATCAGTTCCTCTGAAGATCCAGAAGCTTCAGCTGACTGACTCTGTTGTGTACTACTGTGCTGTGAAGCCCACAGTGACAGGAAACACCACAACACAACATAGTATGGAGATGTAGGCTGGACTGTTCTCTGTGCTCTAAAGATAAACTGAAGGTCTGAATATAATATTAATTATCTACAAAGTACATCTTGTTTGTCATCATATTTACTCGTGTTTAATTTCACCACTGTTGAATTGTATAATTTAAATAAAGTAACTCAGTAAACTTCCTGCATTCTTTTGTCTTGCGCTTTATTAAAGAAGTTTGTCTTTTTCTTTGGAAGCTGCGATTTCTCGAGGTGTTCCACAGGGTTCATTCCTGGGTCTCTCAGTTTTTAATTATATGCTGGCAGCGATATTGTTAATATTATTTGATCAGGTTTTTTGTTTTGGTTTAGATTAATGGATCTTGTAAAATTGTTCAAGACATTCATTGGCCTTTTTCAAACCGGCCACTACACCCTACCCTACGCACTACCCTCCATTTGCGGTCCCCGCGGAGGGTCTGCCATATTAAGTCCATCCCAAACCAATTAGCGGGGAGTGGTAGTGGGTTATAAAACCCTCCACCAGCAAGTGTGCACCGATGCCGACTTTCGGATCACGTGCAATGCCTATTGTGTCCAGTCGTTATGGATGAAGCAACCTGTGAGTTCTGTGCAAGTGCCTATAAACACTGCTCTAACTAAGATAGACATTTAATATCCTCATACAGGCGTTAACAACTTCAGATGTGGATTGTATTGAGGATCAAATATATGTTTATTTATTGTGTTTCATATTTACAGGGACTGTTGCAAAAACAAAAGAATATTAAATCACGTTGCAGACAACTTTGTTGTGAACATTTATTTCTTATTTTTCTACTTTTGATGTCTTTGTGAAATCTCAATTCAACAATAAAAATACTTTTTGATGCTCTGATGTTCAACAATATTATCCTTGTCTTTGCATTAATTTAGGACACCCTGTTCTATGAAATTACAATAAATTAACTGAAATTATAAATTACAATAAACATTGTAGGCTCAATCTAATAGTTTTGTTATCAGTCTACACTAATATAACTGAAAAAGAAGAATAATCTAGGCTACATAAATATTTTTACAGAATGCATTAGCTACAAAAAAAGCCGTTTCCGCAAGATACCGCTGAGTAACCATGGTAACATACAGTTCCTGTTTCCACATGAGAGAGGGAAGTTTTTCCTAAAGCCTGCCGCTGTATTTCTACCCTACACCTTGATGAAGGAGAAGGAGGGTTTGGTTTGAAGAAGGGCCATAGAGTCTGGAAAAAACCTTTGTGGATGTAAATTTTAAACACAATTGTAATATTTTTTATCTCCACTAGAGGCAACATAATCAAGGGGGAAGATCACCACAGCACTCTGTTCAAGTATTCATATGTAACAGCTGCTGTAAAGTGAACTATTCTCACACTTCTGGCTGAACATCAGATCAGGTCTCCTGTTGGTTTAAACCTTGTTGTAGAGATGGAACTTTGGCTGTGGATTATTCTGGCTGCTCTTCTATTTGGTGAGAAACTATAGCATAACATATTTCTTTACTCCTCACTTGTTTGAGTGTCTGTTCTAAACTACATAACGTATTTAACCTGAGCCTTTTTTTAATCAATCAACAATTAATCTCTTCTTTTCTGTTATCTTCTCAGAGTGTAAAGGAGAAGACAGAGTGATCCAGCAACAGAAGATGTCATTGCTTATGAAGGAGACACAGTACACTTGATTGTACATTTGAGACCATTACTCAAATCCCTCAATGTTCTGGTACAGACAGGAAACAGTTGACTTTCCAAAGTACATGTTCAGATGCTATTTAAACATGTATATAAAGCTCCTGAGTTCCAGACAGACAGATTTAAACCTGCAATTAACGGGACATCAGTTCCACTGAAATCCAGAAGCTTCAGCTGACTGACTCTGCTGTGTACTACTGTGCTCTGAAGCCCACAGTGACAGGAAACACCACAACTCTGTACAAAAACCTCTGGAGAGAAGACAACAGAATACTCCACAACATCCACTAGAGGGAGTCACACGCTGTTAAACTACGATGGTATGTAATGATACAGACCAGATCATCTTAACACTTATTAAACTGAAGACATGATGTAGGAGGATGCATGCTTTAATGTGGGGCTGTACCAGTCTCTCAAAGCATTTCATAATCACCGGGTGAGAGCAACCAGACGGTAATTGTTCTTGCTGGTGATGGCTGAGGTTTTGGGTACGGGGATTATGGTTGCGGTTTTCAGACAGATGGGGACAGTGGCTTGCTGTAGTGACAGGTTGAAGATGTGTGTGAAAACTACAACATCCACTAGAGGGAGTCACACTGATAAACTTCTATGGTATGTCATGATGGCTAGATGTTTCTCAATTCAGAAATGAAACTAGTTCACAGATGAGTCTCCTCCCAATGACTGCAGAGGTGTTTGATGACAGAGAACTGTTTGATTCCAGCTGTGAACATCAGACCAAACTCTACTCACAAAACTGAATCATACTGAACATTCAGTTACAGCATCTCACCTCTACAAACATGGAACACTTACTGTTATTTTGTTCTTCTCAGTTCTCATAGGTATGTATGTAATAAATGGACAGTGTGTTGTGATTTTGAAAATAAAGAGTATTTCAGTCCGGAAGCTGTCATTATAACCTAAATATGTTAGATGTAGATTTATGTTTGTTTATTAAAATATTCAATGACATGTGACTTTGAATAATTTATTTTACTTATTCTTTTTTAGGTGTCAGCTGTGAAGATCTCACTCCAGTTAAGAAGAGAGCACAGTTAGAAGACAGCACCGTCACTCTGTCCTACAGTTACTCCAAACAAGCTGTTGCAGTGATTCTTTCTTCTGGTTTCGACAAATCCAGGAAAACCACCACAGTTTATCATCTCTCACTCAGGAACAGGACGACTTATATCAGATCCAGTCTCTGGACTGTCTGTAACTATGAGAGCGGATGAAAAACATCTGGATCTACAGATCTCCTCTGCTGTACTGACTGACTCTGCTGTGTACTACTGTGCTCTGAGGCCCACAGTGACAGGAAACACCACAACTCTGTACAAAAACCTCTGGAGAGAAGACAACACAATACTCCACAACATCCACTAGAGGGAGTCACGGACTGTGAAACATCAACTGTAGGTATGGAGATGTAGGCTTGACTGTTTTGTAGTGATGATAAAGAGCCTCTCTAATAGGCGCTCTCCACATATCCAGAACTGTTTGAATGTAACATGAATTTGGTTTGCAAACTATAGATATAAATGAAGCTCTTAATATACAAAAAGTTAATATGATGTGATGGTTTGTCATCATATTTAATCTGGATCAAATCATTAGAATAAAGTACCATCATAAACAGTTGGAATGACAAAATTAGAAGTGAGTTTCTTTTGTTCTGTCTTTGATAACACATTCTTCTTTGGCTGTGATTTCTCGTGGTGTACCACAGGGTTGAGTTCAAGGCCAGGCCTTTTTATTTGCAAGTTGAATTTGATTTAAAATAAATTAGTCTAGTTTCTTTTTTGTTGTTATTGATGAACAGATCTTATCTTAATCCAGTCATAGATGCCTCTATGTTACTACATTTGAGATGTAAGTGTTAAGAGGAGGAGCTACACAAATGAATATGAACAGTGTCACTTTGGAACAGAAGAGCTGCTGTGTTCTCTCTACTGTTCATTTATCACAGGAACAACAATGCAGCTTCCTTTGGTTTGGATGATTATAGTATTCTTTCATACTGGTAAGTACTAAGAAGACGTAATAAGATCTAAGACATGAAACATGTCTGTCCAGATAGACAACGACAGTCACAGTGAAATATATGTCTTTCTCTTTAGGATCCTCTGAGGAATTAGTGACACCATTCAGAGAGGTAATGATGGCTGTTGATGGAGACGATGTGACTCTCTCCTGCAACTATTCAGGCTCTGCCAAGTACCTCTACTGGTATCAGCAGAAATCAGGTTCATCTCCACAACTTCTCATCGGAGAATATTCAGAGACAATAGAGAAGTTGTCTACTAGACACGACAAGCAATCTAATGAGTTTCATCTGGAGATCTCCTCTGCTGCACTGACTGACTCTGCTGTGTACTACTGTGCTCTGGAGCCCACAGTGACAGGAAACAGCACAACTCTGTACAAAAACCTCTGGAGAGAAGACAACACAATACTCCACAACATCCACTAGAGGGAGTCACACTGATAAACTTTAGTTGTATATGTTGATACAGTTTAGATTATTTTCCCTCATGATACAGTTGTGATAAAACTCTTCAGAAATGAAAATGATTTGATATGAGTCTCCTCCTACTGACTGCAGAGGAGCCTTATGACAGAGAACTGGTCTTTGTAATATAACAATGAGTAAGGTCTTTAACCTGCTCTTTTGTAAAGTGTCTTCAGATAACATTTGTTATGAATTGGTGCTATACAAATAAAGATTGATTGAGAACTTTTTAATCAAGCTGTGAACATCAGACCGAACAACTCGGCACCAACTCATACTAGTTCTTCCTTTACAGCACCTCACCTCTGTAAATGTGGGAGAACTCACAATGGCCTCCAGTTAAAAACTAGTTCAAGTTCTAAATAAGGTGTTCATCTGGCCCCGCCCACTGAGGCAAACCAATGAGATTGTCTGTATCTTCAGAGCAGAAAAGTTTGAGGAAGTCAAATTAAAATCATGTCAAAGTAGAGGAGAACATCTGTGCAGCACAGAGGCTGTTTAGTTTAGAAGAACATTACTCATCTGCTGTCTGTTTGTCTTCAACAACTCCAAAGACATGCTGCTTTACCTCTTTTTACTTTGCTCTCACTTTATAGGTGAGTGTTACAACACACATCAAACTCTAATTTCACCTGCTGTTTAGACCAGATATCTGAACAACTATTTCAAAGTAGATGTTTATCTGTGGGAGCTACAAATTCCACTGATAGAAAAAGACTTTTGTTTTCTTCATGAATCTCAAAATGATCAAAGATGACTGATGAAGTAGAGGACTGATTTTCAGTCTCTTGATGTCTGAATCTCTTGCAGACTAACAGACATGTATAATACTTATTTTGCAGCCCTGGGCTCCATGAACAGCATAAACCCAGAAAGAACTGAAGAAAAGGTTGAAGAGGGAGGAAACATCAACCTGACCTGTACATATGATGGTCTAATCAACAACATCCAGTGGTACAGACAAAACCAGAGATCCAGACCAGAGTTCCTGCTCTACATCACAGAGGGAGGATCGATTCATCCAACAGATTCTGATTTCTCAGCTTACATTAACAAAACGGAGAAACGAGTAAATCTGGAGATCTCCTCTGCTGCACTGACTGACTCTGCTGTGTACTACTGTGCTCTGCAGCCCACAGTGACAGGAAACACCACAACTCTGTACAAAAACCTCTGGAGAGAAGACAACACAATACTCCACAACATCCACTAGAGGGAGTCACACATGATAAACTATGATTATTTCATTCATGATACAGTTGTGATAAAACCTGTAAGGAATTAGAGTAGTTTAAAGAGTCTCCTCCTCTGACTGCAGAGGAGCCTGATGACAGAGAACTCTTTAAATCAAGCTGTGAACATCAGACCAAACAGCTCACCAAACTTACTCATACTTGTTCTTCACTTACAGCGTCTCACCTCTACAAACATGGAACAACTCACTATTATCTTCATTTTAACTCTCCTTGGTATGTTTGTGTTTAATAAGAAATCTAAATGACAAAGAAGCTTTTCAAGAATTTGAGATCCAGTATGAATTTTTGGATCAGCCAAAGATCAATTTAACATTTCAAAAACACTTTCTAGAAAACAACACTTCTTTACTGATGACTGTTTCTAGTATTGTTTGTTTGAACACAAGATGTTTATTGTGTGACATCTTTAAACTACAGTATGTCTGATGTTGAAACATCATGTGTTTGTCTCCATCAGGTAACACCTTGGAGGATGATATTACTGCCAGCAGTGCTGAAGTGTTTTCATCAGAGGGTCACAGTGTTACTCTGTCCTGTAAATACTCAGTTAAAGCTAATAATCTCCAGTGGTATCAACAGTATCCTGGATCAGCTCCTCAGTTCCTTCTCCTGATCAGCGACACTTCAGATCCAACTGTAGTGACAGCAAAACCTCCACACCCTCGACTGACTGTTAAACTGAATAAGGAGAGAAACCGTGTGGATCTACAGATCTCCTCTGCTGTACTGACTGACTCTGCTGTGTACTACTGTGCTCTGCAGCCCACAGTGACAGGAAACACCACAACTCTGTACAAAAACCTCTGGAGAGAAGACAACACAATACTCCACAACGTCCACTAGAGGGAGCATCAGACCGAAAACAACTCAGCACCAACTTATACTAGTTCTTCCTTTGCAGCACCTCACCTCTGTAAATGTGGGAGAACTTACAATGGCCTCCAGTTAACAACAAGTTCAAGTTCTAAATAAGGTGTTCCTCTGGCCCCGCCCACTGAGGCAAACCAATGAGATTGTCTGTATCTCCAGAGCAGAAAAGTTTGAGGAAGTCAAATTAAAATCATGTCAAAGTAGAGGAGAACATCTGTGCAGCACAGAGGCTGTTTAGTTTAGAAGAACATTACTCATCTGCTGTCTGTTTGTCTTCAACAACTCCAAAGACATGCTGCTTTACCTCTTTTTACTTTGCTCTCACTTTATAGGTGAGTGTTACAACACACATCAAACTCTAATTTCACCTGCTGTTTAGACCAGATATCTGAACAACTATTTCAAAGTAGATGTTTATCTGTGGGAGCTACAAATTCCACTGATAGAAAAAGACTTTTGTTTTCTTCATGAATCTCAAAATGATCAAAGATGACTGATGAAGTAGAGGACTGATTTTCAGTCTCTTGATGTCTGAATCTCTTGCAGACTAACAGACATGTATAATACTTATTCTGCAGCCCTGGGCTCCATGAACAGCATAAACCCAGAAACAACTGAAGAAAAGGTTGAAGAGGGAGGAAACATCAACCTGACCTGTACATATGATGGTCAAATCCAGAACATCCAGTGGTACAGACAAAACCAGAGATCCAGACCAGAGTTCCTGCTCTACATCACAGAGGGAGGATTAGTCATAACAGATTCTTATTTCTCAGCTCACATTAACAAAACGGAGAAACGAGTAAATCTGGAGATCTCCTCTGCTGCACTGACTGACTCTGCTGTGTACTACTGTGCTCTGAGGCCCACAGTGACAGGAAACACCACAACTCTGTACAAAAACCTCTGGAGAGAAGACAACACAATACTCCACAACATCCACTAGAGGGAGTCACACACTGCGAAACATCAACTGTAGGTATGGAGATGTAGGCTTGACTGTTTTGTAGTGATGATAAAGAAGATCTCTGACAGGCGCTCTCCACATATCCAGAACTGTTGGAATGTAACATGAATTTGGTTTGCAAACTATAGATATAAATGAAGCTCTTAATATACAAAAAGTTAATATGATGTGATGGTTTGTCATCATATTTAATCTGGATCCAATCATTAGAATAAAGTACCATCATAAACAGTTGGCACGCCAAAATTCGAAGTCAATTTCTGTCTTTGATGAGGAAGTTCTTCTTTGGCTGTGATTCCTCGTGGTGTACAACAGGGTTTAGTTCTAGGCCTGGTCATTTTTATTTGTAGGTTGAATTTGATTTAAAATAAATTAGTTTAGTTTCTTTTTTGTTGTTATTGATGAACAGATCTTATCTTAATCCAGTCATAGATGCCCCTATGTTACTACATCTGAGATGTAAGTGTAAAGAGGAGGAGCTACACAAATGAATATGAACAGTGTCACTTTGGAACAGAAGAGCTGCTGTGTTCTCTCTACTGTTCATTTATCACAGGAACAACAATGCAGCTTCCTTTGGTTTGGATGATGATAATATTCTTTCATACTGGTAAGTACTAAGAAGACGTAGTAAGATCTAAGACATGAAACATGTCTGTCCAGATAGACAACTACAGTCACAGTGAAATATATGTATTTCTC